AATTCCCCGCCCCCGTTACCCGTTTACTACCCCGTTTATTTATTTTTTATTTTTTTAAAATTTTTGATAATTCATTTTATTACCCCCGTTCATTAAATTGAGACAATAATATATTTTTTAATCTTTACTTATTTTTAAAAGTTAAATTATTCAAACCTGCCCCAGGTTAAAATTCCCTGCCACATCTCTGAATACCTGATTAAGCGAGTAACTCCCGATGGGCCCCACAAATATTGGGTTTGTCGGATATTTTTGTCATCCCTAAGCATTTACCTTAATCTAACCAATTTTAATGAAGAGCAAAATGATCTCTTAGCATTTAAATAATTAAAATATAAGAAAACAAAAATAAAAATCCATCTTCCCCAATCAACCTAACCCCTATCTCATCTCACAACAGGCACAACCACAACAACAATCGATCGGTGGTGGAGAAACCTCCCATGTTGGTACCCAAACTACGGGATTTATCTCCTTGGTTTAACGATTCAAACCCAAGAGTTTCAGTAGCAAAAATTAGAGGGTTTAGATTACGAAACCAAGGAAAGAAATCCCCTTAGTGGTGCTCGTTGTCGTGAGGTGAGAGCGTGGATTTGAGAAGATGATTTTCTTTATAAAAATATTTTATTGTATTTTTTAATCTTTTTTTTTTTATTTTTTGAATTCTTTTCCTAATATTAAATGTTTGGATAAAATTATAAGTTACTAAAATTATAATATGGTAGAGATATATGGTGATTAGTAGTTGCAGCTACTACGAAATATTGGTTAAAATTAAAATTTGGTTTTTAAAAGTAAATTATTGTTATAAACTAGAGAACAAAAGAGAGAAATCAATGAAATTTTGCGTTTTATTAAGAACCAAATCCCTATATTTATGGAGAAAAATTAGGGTTACAAGAGATGAAATAAATATAATGACTAGGACTACATGGATATAAAAGGCATTCATAAATATTACTATATTCATAACAGTCTCCCTTGAATAACTACGTGTAAAATAACTATCTCATTGAAACATTATTTGACAAAAAAAGTAATAATAATTCGGAATAATAAAATACTTCCTCGTTAAAATCTTGTCAAGAAAACCCAACTTTAACCTTCTAAAAATTTAGATTTTAATCTAAATTAAAGTTAATAATTAATTTTAACCATATATTTTAGAAAAATACTATTCATCC